AAAATATGGTTTAAAAAAGGAAGGCATCCAAGTCCTGATGTGAAAAGAGATGGAGGCACACAAAGATTAAAAATAAAGAACTAAAAGCTAAGCTTTTTTCCTAATAATTCATAACATGCTTTCTGTCATTTCTGTCATATCCCATTAACCCAGTAACTGGGGAGTTTGTGTGATACAACAAAAAAAGTAGACCCGGTGAAGGAAAAAAAAGCATTGCCTTTTGAAATTGTCATCAGTTGATCCTGTCACCTTCCCACTCTTTAGTCCAAACGGATTGCAGTTTCAAAATCTAGATGCACCAAGAGAGAATGTCCATTTCTACAGAAGAAATGAATTGGGACATACAGGGATGGACAGCTTTGTTGTAATGACAGTGGTGTTAACAGGCTAAGAGACAAGCTGCAAAATCTATTTTAGGTTTTAAAATTAAACTGAACGGGTCTGACAGCATCCTAGTGACCAGCAGAGGAGCTAATTTGTACCTTGTAAGTCTTGTAATGATTTCATAGATCTTACAATGATGTGCATTACAAAATCCTCTGGAAATGCCATTAATTACTTTGAATTTTCATTTCTTCCTTTTCAAAAGTAGACAGTAATTTCCAACCTTTGCAGATCTAGGAACACTTCTGAACCTAGTCTGCTCTGTAGCTTCTGAGTTACGTGATTCCTCTTTTTCTTTTTACACTTTCCTAGGTATAGCTCAACGTACAGAAGGGGGCTATATGTAAGTTCCAGGTTTAACTGGTCTAAATTCTTAGAAAACTGGGTCATTTAGTGGAAAATCATGGTGTGGCTCTGTGCGAAGCAGCTTTATATATTTCTTGGAGGGAAAAAAAGATTTTCAATAACTGTTTCTCAAAATGGGAATGCCTCTTGATAACCAGTTGCTAGGGAACGCTGAGGTTGTTGTCAGATCCTGCTCTTGGGCTTTCCATAGGCAGTTAATTGGTCATGGTGGAAACAAAGCTTGGACAAGAATGTCCTTGGTATGGACTGTCCAGAGTTTCTGTATGCTCGAATAACAGAGTTGAAAGAGATTTTGGTCTTCTAAACCAACCCCCTGCTCAAGCAGGAAACCCTATACCATGCCCTTTGTGGTCTCTCATGTTCTGAGTTTGGAAATAAGACTCATTTGCTACATTTGGGTTTTGAGAACAGTCCTTTGTTAGTTCTGAAGAAGTCAATGGCCTGCTTTGGCTACTTCAACATGGGTATGAAACTCTGCAACATGGGTTGCAGCTGCTAGTTGATAAGTAGCTTGCCCATGTGAATAATTTTCTTAAGAAACTATATTCCCCTCCTCAAAGCAGACTGCCATTATCTGTAAGACTTAGGGAGATTGATTTGATGGCAGTAACCCAAAGAGCTTAGAACCAATCAGAGAAATTTCCAAAGGTCTTACCCTTCAAGTTTTGCAAAGAGGAATAGAGGCTAGTGCTGTCAATGCGATACTGCATTGCTGTTGCAACAAAACCTCATACATTAAGAAAATAAAAGTTTCTGGAGAAAAAAGTCCAGAGAGGAACATACAGCAAGTCAACATTCCATTAGCCACATTACATGCAGATGGTTGTCAAACACAACAACCTTTTTATGGGAATGCAACTAAAGCCTCTCTATAGAATAAAGGCATCCAACCGTGGTAGCCTTAAGACCTGTGAATGTCAACTCCCAGAATTTCCTATGAATTTCTTGGGAAATTCTGGGAGTTCAATTCCACAAGCCTTAAAATTGGAAAAGTTGGACATTCCTGCTATAGAAAGTAATTAGTCTTCTTACGGCAGCATGACAGCAATTCTCTGTTATGATGGAATCTCTTAAAGGCCATCTCTCAAAACCAGAATAACTGGCTCTAGCTCTATTTATTCCATTTAGATTTTGCCCTTCAAACAAGCAACTTCAAAGTAATCCATTCCATTCTTGTGACGCAGCGAATGATTCAATGGATCCGTACACATTGAGGGTCAATGGAAATCTAAAGCCAAGTGGCTTCAGCTGGGGTATTCTGACTATAGCACACATCTCATCTTAGTATGAAACCATAGCTTAAGGCTGTAATCTTATAAGACTTACCTAAAAGCAAGACCCACTAAGTTTAATAACTGACGAAGCATTCATCAGATTGCATTATTGCACATTTGGCAAAAAAGATGGAATGAATACAGGTCATGGGTCCACAAATTATCAAACAAAACTTTTGCTATTCTTTACTATTGACCCAGAGTATTGTTTTTAGATATCCATAGGTAAAATTAATACAAAATACAGACACTTATGTCTTTAGCTTGATTTGTTGAGTAGAAACAGGCTGAAAAAATTATTGGGGCCAAAGACTTTTTAAGCCAGAGTAGTGAAACAGTGAACTCATTAAGCCTTATCAGAAAACTACAAAAAATAGAAGAGATTATCTATAGGTCAGAGTTGAATTATGGGGTTCTTGGTGCTCTCTAAGTTTGGTTGTTTACTTATAGATGGGTCATTACCAGACGAGGCAACATCATCAGTGTTGATGATGTTACAAAATTACCCACTTGGGCAAGGATACCTCTGAAAGCAAACAATCAAGCTCAGAGAAGCTCTTGATTTTATATCCCATTGAAACATTTCATTATTCACAATCATTGCATAGATCAGGGGTAGGCAACCTCGGCTCTTTTATGACTCATGGATTTCAACTCCCAGAATTCCTGAGTCAGCATAGCTGACTCAGGAATTCTGGGAGTTGAAGTCCATGAGTCATAAAAGAGCCGAGGTTGCCTATCCCTGGCATAGATTCAAATCACAAGGCCTAGACTTCTGCATTAACGATCCCTTTTGATGTGTAAGAAGGGATATTGAAAGCCAGTGTGGGATAGTGATGGAGGCGTTGTACACAGAATGGAAGAAACCAGAATCAAATCCACTTTGAGCTATGGAAACTCACTGGGTGACTGACTTAGTCTCCTACTCTTGGCTAGCTGAACCCACAGAATTGATGTCATAGGGAAATCTACAGGAAAACTAATACAGTGCATGTTGCCTGCAGCTTCTGGAGGGCAAGGAAGAGTATAAATGAAACAAACAAATAAATGGGTGCACTTGTTCCAGATATATTATGCTTTTTGTGCAATCTTATCCCGTTAGCATTTGAAACATAAAAAGACTAGGTGGAAATGCATACCTCTTTGTCTAGTAAGATCTGTGCCTTATGAATAAACAAATGAAATCAAATTCTGCTCCCAGTTATGCTGATATAAATCTAAAAGTTTGCAACTGAATGCAATGGAGCTACTGCTTTATTAACATTTTGAGTTCTGCCCTAGGTGATTCTTTCTTTCTATTTCCCATAAATATGAAAGAAGACCCAATCCAGAACACCTTCTCTAGCTGTAATCCCACCGGAATCAGGGAAGCTTAGTTCTGAGTAAATAATTGTAGGTTTAAATAGCCAAGTTACCTAATGGCAATTTTAAAAGAATCATTTATTTTTGTCTGCTATTTCATTACTTCCTTAGCTGTTTCAAATTCCATAAAATTAGTTGTCAGAGGGTTTGTTTGCAAATTCCCACAGCACTTCCAGGCATAGCATCCAGACAGTTTGATTTGTATATACTTTAGTTGCAAATAGGGGGATTTTTTCCCCTGATCACACCATCTTTTTTAAACAACTGAAGAAATATATCAGCTGCCAGTTTTCACCCTCAAATAAGATAAAGGTTTGTCTTGGCAAATTAACTGTTTGGCTTCTTAGGCTGTGAAAGCTTCGGTACACATCACAATGCCTGCTAAACAATGGCTGGCATTTGCTTCAACTTGGTACATTCTATAGGGATAGGACTATATTTTCCACCAACCTTGACAGCTATTTAGGGATGACAGGGATTGGACCCCAACACATACAGAACACATCTCAATGAATTATGAGTTCCAACAAATGGATGACACCTGAATAGAATTCCCACATTCCATAAGCCAATAAACCTGGGATTTTGGTAACAAGGGACAACAGTGAGATGGTCTTCATTCTACACTTGTGCTGTCCAACTAGTTTTCAATCTCTGTATCTCACCAGTCAGAAGGAAGTGTCAGCAGATTCAACAACTTCTCATCTAACAGAACTTAAAAAGGAAGCATTCTAGCTGGTTAGGACTCCTGAAAGAAAGTTGTCACCATCTTAGAAAGGACCAAAACAAAGAAGAAAAAGAACCCAACAGAAATACTAATATTTTTTTCATTAGGGGAAAAGGACTCAACACGTTTAAAAAATATATCAAAGAAAAGAAAGTCCTACCAAACTAGTGTTAGGCACTTTAAAAGGCATCTGATTAAGAAGGCAATCTTGAATGTATTTATTAAAGCCAGGCAGGATGCCATCTACCAATTGTCATGAAAAAAAATATCATTTTTAAGATATCAAGGTGGTAGATTGATGGAGCCTAGTATTTTGTTCTGAAACTTTTGTGACCCTGGTGGGGGGGGAAGGGGATAAAAGGGGGAGGGTAGCTTCTGTTGTCGTGTTCTGGTCCCATTTGTGATGCAATTCAATGACCCATTTTAGTTGAAACAAACAAAGAAGGCAACCTTGCTGGAAATTATTTTAAATTAAGACAAAAAAAAACCCACCTATTTTTGTTTAAATCCTATCCACCATTGCTAAACATAAAACATTCACCCTTCTGCTAAAGCTTTCCTTGACATTTTCCTCTTTCTTGTTTGAGTGCTTGGCTTTTGTCATCAATAGCAAATTGGTCATGCAGATTAGTACATTCTAACATTCATGGCTTAATTATAAATTTAAAACCCCTTGCCTGAGGAAATATGTTTTATGATTGGGGTTTTTTTAAATGATGGTGAAACCAGAATTACACGACTTGTTCCAGGTCACTTCTTGTTGAGAACAAGAATGCATTCTTTAAGACAAACTATACTTTTCTTTTCTTCATGAAATAACTTTATACTATTTAACACAAAATAAACTGTTGCCCAAACCTCAAAAATAAAAGTTGTCCAGTCTGGACTGAAAATTAAAGCTCACATTGAATTTATTCGCTGTCTAGAACTTCAGGGATTAAATATACATAACCAAAATATAACAAATATATACATGATTATTTAAGGTACAATCGAATACCTGTGGGTCTCGCTGTTTCAAAACATTTTGGGGGGAAAAATAAGATACCCTTCCCCCCTCCAAGTCTTCTTTAAAAAGTTATTCTTCTGTAACAAATAACATCAAATATTATAATGAGAAAGAAAGAAAACGTATTCAGTTCCTCATTGCTAACATGGCATTTATGTCCCAAATGAGATTCCGCAATTGATCCATGATTTGCTTCAGCTGTTGATTCTTCTGTTTCAGTTTCTGTGAAAAGAGATGGGGGAAAAAATAAACTGTCAACAGCGCTGCTTGTTTGGGCTACACACTGTGAATTTTAATTGAGAGAATGGCGGTATGCAGGACAGTAGAAAAGTCTATTGCTCAGTGCCAAATCAAGGTAGAAAGCTCAAAGATTAATGGTTGATAGTCAATGTATGGAAAGAGAATGAATTAAGAGACAGTCAAAGAAGAGCGTCTTTTCGCCTATCTTGATTTCCCAACTGTAGGCTGCAACTTCTATGCCTAATGGAATAAAACAGCACATCTCCTTTCTTAAAAAGGTATTTCCCTATGAGCAAGCTTATGTCAGTATAGGGGCTTCAGGAATAAGAGTACTAAAAATAAGCAACACATATGCTCTGATCAAGTCCTGGAGTAAAGAGGCAATATGGATATGATATGAGAAGCAGTTTGGGGTTGTGGTTAAGAAACCAGGAGACTGTGAGTTCTAGTCCTGCCTTAGGGATGAAGCCAGCTGGGTGACCTTGGACTAGTCACGCTCTTAACCCCAGGAAGCAGCCAGTGACAAACCACTTCCGAAACCTTGCCAAGAAAAGGCACAATGGCACAAAAAAAGGGAAAAAAAGGATATGATACCCATACCCAGTTCGGAATAGAAAACCCTTTGCCATTCAAATCTTGCTGATATAACAAGCTTGCCTCACTACTATCCATGCAGGCTCAGAACTGACATTCAATAATATATGGAAAGGAACAAATTCCACACCACTTATTTAGCCCCTAGCATGATACTTCACACCTTTCCATATTGTGGAATAAGTCTGTACCTGGGAGATTCTTTACTTACCTGTGAAGATTCCTTGCAAATTTTGGCCCTTCATTTTCCAGGGAATATACAGAGGGATACAGAATGATCACTACTGCAGGAACTTGTTTTAAATATGGGAGCAAAACTATGTATTACCCACACTGCCTCTTTTAAGGAGAAACTCACTAGAAGATTCTACTTTATATTAGAATGATTCTTTCATCTTGGAAGGATTAACAACTGGTGGATGGAGCCATGGGGAAAAAAAGCCCTACCAGCTCTTTAGATAACTTTGCCAATATATATCAAACTTGATTTCCAGCTGAGACTAACCCTGTTGCATGAAATGAATAATCAAGCAGAATTCTATTAAGTTTTAAAGACCTACCAATAACTCGTTGGAACTAGAAATAGAAATCTAAGGCACCATTCTGCTCAGCAGGGATTTTAGTAACAAAGACAACTTAACTTGCCTTTGCCCATCATTTTAAGAGATGGTGACTAATGTATCTGAACCTAGCATGCAGTTATATATTTATTTATTACAGTAAATAATGCCATATCTACTCAGAAATTAAAATATACTGAGTTCAACAGCATCTCAGGCCACAAGTGCTTGGATTTTACCCTCAATATATAATGAACAAAGGACAAGTGAAGACAAAGCTTAAAAAAAACTGAAGGCAGCCACATTCCCAATTTAAAACCATCTGTTTAATACCACAAAACCGGACTGCCTCCACAAAGCATTGTACAAATAGGTTGCATTAATGACTGGCATAGAGATGAATTAAGTTACCACAAAGTTCTGTCAGACGTGGTATTGAAGTATTTTGATTTTGCCAAGGCCAAAAATTATAGCTTAGTCTGTGCTTTCTCTATGACTGAGAACTGAAGCATTTGCAATTTCGGTCTCACAGTGTGATGTCACTTAGATCTCTCTGCATAAAGAATCAAACACTCATTTTTCCTCCACCCAAATCCATTTTACATTCAGTCCCAAAGTAATAATGTTCAATTTGGTTTGGCTGCATAGCATTTTGCCTCCTAGGTTAGCAAGCATAATCTGAATTTGCAGTTAAAGATAGGAACTATGCCTACTCAAGCATATTTTATCGGATAAATGTTCTTTCTGGGGTTCAGCTCTTTAGATTTTAGTGCTAGACATTGTGTGGCTTTCCTTCTCAACTGCCCCATGGGGTTCTTTCCAGACTGCAACAGGAATGCCATATCATGCTGTGACTTTTAAACTAGATAGTGCTCAATGGATTTTGCTTTGTGTTGGTTGGCTTGTTTGAGGAACTCTTGACATAGTTCAGTACCTCCAAATATTGCAATGCATTCCATGTCTATATCAAGTTAACAGGGCTGCACTAAATCTTTCTAAAACCCACTCCGTACTATAGATCAGTGCTTTTCAAAGTTACAGAATAACAGAGTTGGAAGAGACCTTGGACGTCTTCTAGTCCAGGGCTTTTCAACCTTTTCACCGACTGTACCACTTTTAGGATATGGCAATATTCGAATACCACCTCGCAAGGTGTCAAAAAGTTGATGACCAAAAAAAAAAAAAGGAAAAAAGTGATAAAGTACAGGTTGTCCTCGACTTACAACAATTCGCTTAGTGACTGTTCAAAGTTGCAATGGCACTGAAGTGACTTATGACCATTTTTCACAGTTATGACCGTTGCAGCATCCCCAGGGTCATCTGATTTATATCTGGATGCTTGGCAACTGATTCATATTTATGATGGTCACAGTATCCCAGGGACATGTGATTCCCTTTTGCAACCTTTTGACAAGCAAAGTCAATGGCAGGGCTGCTGGTGGCCAAGTGCTAAGGCGGGACTTCCTTCAGACCCTCCCTCCCTTTCATTCCAATCTCCCTCCCTCCTCTCTTCCTTCCTGCTTCCCTCCCTCCCTCCTTCCCTGCCTCCCTCTTTCTCATTCCCATCTCCTTCCTTCTGAAGAAAGAATTTGAAACACCCCCCCCCCATATTTTCCCTCTTCCATGTATTTATCAAACAAGGAAAAGCCTCCAGAGACAGAAAAGACAAACCGCAGAGGGAACTAGCTTAAAAAGGTACGTCCCCTTTAAGAATTAGCTACTGGCTAGAAAGGAAAGTTAAGGAGCCAGCAGCCAGCATTGCTGCTGGCTAAGGCAGCCTCCCCAAATGGCTCCATTCATAAGTAAACGAATCCTACAGGCAAAATCCATTCAGGACAAAAATACTTCAAAATCCCCTGGAGCAAAACTTACAGCTAACAATAGCAGAGCAATAGAATTAGAACCAGTAACCCCTCACCCCAAAATCCAACACGAGCCATCAGCCACAATAGAAATTGCCAAACACTCCTTAAGAACACAAAGCCCACATTACACAACTCCCAGAACTTCAAAGTCACAAAATCACATAAGAATCCTTCCACTCTCCCAGTTTGTTGTTCAGCTAATCCAGAATAGAATAGAACAGAACAGAGCTGGAAGGGACCTTGGAGACAGGAGACCCCCCCCCTCTTCTTTGTGGCAACTCCTCAAATATTAGAACACTGTTATCATATCACTCCTAGTCTTTTTCTCTGGACTAGCTATACCCGATTCTTCCAACCTCTTATATGTTTTAGTCTCAACATCCGAAGTCTCAACATTTTTTTTATAATGTGGTGACCAAAACTGGATGCAGCATTCTAAATGAGGTTTTACTAAGGTTTTGTATGAATTTCTTTCATATCTGGTGAAAAGTCCATTTCCAACTGCTAAACTTAATTACTTTTCAACTGCTGTAGTGGTAATAAAACCTCTGCAATAAAGTTACAATGAGAAACATACTTTATTTTTACAGCAAAGAAAAAAAAATTGCATATTATGGCTGGTGGAAAATAAATTCAAATTATCCAACCTTTTTTCTTTCGTACTTTAGAAGTTCTCTAAAGAATGAAATCCTATCAAGTTTCCTAGCTCTTCTTTTTCCAGCCATTTGTCACAGGGACAGGTGTCTAGAGAGATGCTTTTTAAACACATCAAATAATAACAAGTAAAACTTAAAAAGAAAATCAAGAAGACAATGAAGTAAATCTAGAAAACATGAACAAATACCCCCAGTAATAGAATGATTTCAGAACTTCAAATGGAGAAGAAAGAAATGTTTCTATATGAACTAATTTTATAGTATTGATTTATATGTCTTTTTTTTTCTGGTAGAGGCAAGGAAACCTTTCTTTCTGCTGCTAAAACCTGTAAACAATATTTGGCTACATAGATCCACTAATTTTATTATAGCTGGTATAATTTATTTATTTATTTATTTATGAGACTTATATACCGCTTTAAGTGCAAGCTCTCTCTAAGTGGTGTACACCAGTAAGCAATGTCTATATATATTTACATTGCCCCCAACAATCTGGGTCCTCATTTTACCTACCCCGGAAGGATGGAAGGCTGAGTCAACCTTGAGCCGGTAAGATTTGAACCGCTGACCTGCTGAACACAGTCAGCTAAAGTGGCCTGCAGTACTGCACCCTAACTGAAGCGCCACCTTGGCTCTTATAATGCCAGCCTTGTTAACCCCTCCTTCACAAAAAGTGCACTTCTGTGATTTACCAGCACAATAAGTCTTTACCAAAGTGATCAACTGCATAACTATCCTTGCCCCATTACATCAGCCCATTCCACTGGTCAGGACGGGAGGGACCCTGAAATTAAAGGATTTTGACTGGCAGGGTCCAAGAAGAGTACCTTCTCTGCCATTGCCTTCAGCCTTTGGAACATCCCACCCACCCCAAGGTGAGGTAGTTCTTCACTCTCCTGGCCTTTCAGAATTGCCTGAAGAACAGGATCTGCTGTCTTGCTTGGGGTTCAACACAGGAGCTTTGAAGACTCTCCCCCTCACCTTTTAACTTTGAATTATAGCTATCTTCGCTTCCTACTAAAATTGTATATGGCTTTTTTATGTTGTTATATTTTACTTGCACACTGCCTCTGTGTCTGTGTTTCTCTGTGAAGAAGATAGGGCAGTTTCCAAAATAAATAATAAACAAATAGTTTAATAACCAAACAAATAAATAAGCAAGCAAGCAAGCAACACAAAGCAGTTATTAAGGTCAAGTCGCTAGCACCAGATAAACAGGAACCATCCATCTTGTGTTCCTCTTGTTTCAACCAGCAGGCCTTTAAAAGAATCCAAGGATTTGGATTCAGAAAGAGAGGGCGGGATCG